CTTACAAAAAAGTAATAATAATAAATTGGAGTAGGTCAGGCACCAGGAGATAGAGACTTAGGGGATCCTTTGCCAATGGCTTTCAAATCCCCTCACATATGCTGTGACCTACTCCATTCATGGGTAACATTAAAACAATGTCTTCTCATCATTACAGATAGACTACAATAAATGCTTTCTGATGTCCTTGTAACAAAACAATCCTTCAACTACTAAAAGTGTGCAGAGGTTGAACTTACTAGGCTGCACTCTGGCGTCGTTTGTCATTTGGAGGTTCTACAAAGGATCTACAAAGAGAAGGTAGACATTCCCTGCCAGTCATCCCGAGAAAAGATGGAAAACCTTGGAGGAGAAACTCCTGCTTTTTTCTGGGCATCAGTCTCTTGGTATGGATATCAAAGAATTTAATTATCTATGAGTGTATTTCAACTAAGGAATGAAACGATGATCTTCCTGAATGGAGAGCTAGATGGGAGCTAGTTAGAGTGGCACAGACAACGTTCAGATACAGAAGAGTCTCTACTACTTGATTCCATGTATAGGAAGGTCAAGAACAGGCTAAACTAGTATGTGGTGATAGTGGTCAGAGTTGTGTTTATCTTGGGGGTGAGTATTGCCTGGGAAAGGGCACAAGGGAGCCTCTGGGGTGCTGGAAGTGTTCTTTATCTTGATCTTGTTGGGGTTTTATAAGTAGACACATTTGTAAACATTCATCAAGCTGTACATTTAAGTTTTGTGTTCTCACTGAATATAACATCTTAATACAAATAAAAATTTTAAAAATAGACAACAACAAGTTGAAGAGGATGAAATTCTACCGAGTTTTGTAGTTGTATGGAACGCTTTATGTTTAGTGTCCCTCTCTAAGCACTAAGCCTCTAGAAAAAAAGACACTACAGCTGGGTTTGTGCATGACTGTGGGGTGACTATGTGTCCACACCTGAACCACAGATAGAGCACAGCACTGTGGAGGCTGTGGCGATTTCAAGAGATTCCCCAGGAATCTAGAATTTGCAAAATCTACCTGCCCCTCCTCACAGAACAGTCTCCCTCCATTGCCAACTAAGGAGGATCTGGGTTTGATTTTGCTAATGGTAAGGGTGGTTTCCCTTGCAGCCCCTTCCATACTTGGGGACTCATGATCCAAGATCCTAACCTCAGCCTGAGAACCAAGATGTCTGCGGTATTGCCAGGCAGACGAGGTCAACTGTGGAGACCATCAGAACCCAGCCACATCATGGAAATAGTCTCCACCAAGCAACCAGAGAGAGAATGGTATTCGTCCAACTCGCAGTGTGGCTTGTGTTTATCACAGAAGCCAGCCGGTATAGACCTGCAAGTTTCAAGTTTCAGCTCTATGTCCTCCATTTTTAAGGCATTTTTAGTGCATTTTTACAGGCCTAACATAGCCTTTAACATAGTGAAACTTGGAATTCTGTGTGTGTTTGCCAATTTGGGCTGCTTGTTCTTCCTGTAGTAGACAGGACTCTGGGTGCAAGTGACAGAAACTCCTGAACCCACCAATTTGGCAGGATGGAGTAAGAGCATGGCAGCCCCCACTACAGCTGTGTAGAGTAGGAGGAGGCGAGGCAGTCCCCCAAGAGTGTGGGGAACAGGGTGTAGGATTCTATTCCCAGAAAGTGGGAGTGCTGGGCAGACGTCATAGGCGTCCCTACAATGACGATGATGGAAAAGTCTTGGTGTCTTCTGAACACAGAGGCTCTCCCCTTCTTCGGCCCTGCAAATCCCCACCCTAACCTCTGCTCCAGGATGCCCATACTCTCTCAGTCTACCAACCTGGCCAGGAGCTGACAAGAGGCTCAGTGAGGTGGGGATGGGTGGAGAAAATAAAAGGGAGTGGGTTGACACAAGTACCACTGGAACACCCAGTTACCATTCCCCAACTTTGATTGACCCACAGTTCACAAAACAGAATTCATATTCTCCCCAAATGGGAGATTTTAACTTGCTGATATTTACCCAAATTTATTTCAGTCTTGGGGGAAAAGGGCCAACATCTACTAGGCTTCTAATATCTTTTATTGAGATTTTTTTTCTCAACAACTTAGTGTTTTTGCTCTCCTCCTATTACCAGCTCCCCATCCCTTCCTCACAGTTCTGGGAGGTACCCACTGCGTGACTGAAGGGAATGAGCAGTCTCCTGGAAGCACCCAGCTGAGGTATCATGGGCAGAGGAGTTTGGGGACAAGGCTGGCTCATCCAGAGACGGGGGAGCTGCTGTGGCCACGCAGACCCAAATAAAGGCCTCAGAAAGGGAAACACTTTCAAATAGACCAGGCTTTAGGGAGAGTTAAAAATTCTACCATCCGGCTAAAAGAATTGAGTTAACTCTTTCCATTCAGGTGGGATTTCAGTTTCTCTTAAATTTCATGTGACAGGCCTAAAACCCTGAAGTGGCACCATTTTTGTTTTATAACGAACCAGGTAAAGAAGATGCATAAACAAGGAAACAGTATAAAACCTCCATCAGAGACTCTGTCATTTATTAAACTGACTTAAGCAATCAAGTATTATTAGCCCTGGACTATCTGGAGAAAACATCAGAAAGTATATGGCTCTGGCTGCATGGCTAACATCAAATAGAGACCCTCTGCGCAGAACCAGCTATCATGTTGTGTGTTTAAGAATCATGGCAGGTTCCAAGCTGGGCATCCTGTAAGACTGATGAGACGGAATCACCCCAGACTTACTACTGCTTCCATTATGGCTCTGCAGAGGGTCCGATTCACCTGAGCAAGCTAAATGAAAAAAGAAGGAAGTCATCGGCTTTTCTCTACTCTCTGCCTCTGGGCCACGTCTTCTGCTCCAGGCTGGGAGGTGCAGGAAGGGTGAGACTACAGACAGGCTTTCCGAGACCTACTTGCCCTTGCTAATGCTTGGTGCGTGACTAGTGGCTGCCGTGAAGGTGAAGAGACCTGGGCCAGACCTGCCAGGGTAGTCAGAGGCTGTAGAAGCCTAAACTTCTCACAGAATGAGAAACGGCCACTTTTCAAAACTTACCAAACTACCATCCTGCAGAGATGCTAATGTATTAATATCTTAATGGCCTCTAATGGCATCACAGAAGAACTGGGGAAACAAAAACAGTCCTGCCTCAGGGCCATGCTGAGCAGCAGCTCTTCAAAGAACAATGTGGGTACATTGTGCCTCAGTGACTCCCCCCTCTGACTCCCTCTGGTCAATTAGGAACCCGGAGCTTTGGCCAGGCAATCCTGAGCTCGGTCAAGTGGCTTCCCAGGACTCCATGTGGCTGGAGTGGCATTGTTTCCAGAGATCTGAGTGCAAAAATGGAAGGGCACAGAAATATCAGGCATGCTAACCACAGTGTGTTAAAGGACCCTTCTCTGTAGAAAGAGCCAAGGACTCAACAGTGCAATGTTTGGATACCCCATACAAAGACTTGGCGGGGGTGGGTTTGCTTGGGCTGGGCTGACAGAACAGCGGTGGAGCAGCTGAGTCACCGCCAGGCTCTGAGCAGATCCTTAGACTCCCTGAGTGATGCCCGAGAAGGCTGCTGCTCAGTGCAGTCTGATGTCCACAATGGGAACTGCTCATCACCTGGGTCTGGAACCCTCACTCCCTGGTCATTGGCACACCAGCAGTGGGTAGGAAAGGAAAAGGAAAACCAGTGAAACAGTGATTTTGCTCCTTGTTACAATGAGCTACATTGCTCATGGCTACAGCAATGACCTTGGCTGGGGCGGAGGTTGAAATTCTTATCTGAAATGAGGTTTGTGGAGTATTCATCATTCTTTTTCTCTATTCCAGGCAAGTTATATCCAAACGTGGCTCTGGATTCTCACCTGGAGCTCTTGTTTGAAATGCAGATTCCTGGACTCCAGCCCCAAAGATTCTGATCCAATAGGTGTGGCCTGTGCCCAGGACTCTGCATTTCTAACAGGTACTCCAGGTGATCTGGCATCGGGGACCAGAGGAGCAGTGTTTGGGAGTATGCACCCAGCGTGTTCCTGGCCCCCACACTGACACACTGCCCTGTCCTGGGACACGTATCTTTCAGCACACATGCACTTCACACCGATTCAACTCAGCCCGTGTTTATTGGGCACTGACTACAGGCAAGGCACAGTGCCAGGTGCTATGGGTACAGAGACAAGAAGGCCAGGCCTCACCCCAAGGTAGGGGCTTACAGTCTAGTGAGAGAGACACACTCACAGGTCACAAAAACACAGGCAGAATGAGGTGAGCTCTACCACAGAGGCAAAACCAGTGCGAGAGCAGGAGCCGGCACAGGTCAAATGCACCCTGGCTGATTGGAGGTTAGCTGCAAGGAGCGGAGCTTCGGCCAGTGCCCGGGAGATGGGTAGGCTACACACAGGTGGGACCAGACAGAGAGGGTGGGAGGAGGTATAGAGGTGGGAAGGGACACTGCATGTCCAACGAACAGAGGCAGAATGTCTGCCCTGACGGAAATATAGGATGCCAAAGGGGTAACAGAGGGAGCTAAAGCCAGAGAAGTGTTTGACCTAGACAGTGGAGTCTCCCTCTGCTAAGGAGATGTGACTTCATTCTGCAGGCAGTGGTGAAGCATCGAAGGTTTCTGAGCAACGGAGTGACATTTCTCATTTCCTCAACTCCAGGCACACTGCTGTGAGCATGGCGTGATTAGCTCTATTTTTGTTAACTTCACTCTGTAAACTTATACCCTCTTTTGCTCTCAAAGCAGAAGCCCTGCGGCCACGCTTACTTCCCAGGGCTGCACAAAGCTAGGAGGCCGTGGCCTTAGGCTAGGTAAACCCTGAGCTCACTAACAGCTTTGCACCATCTCCACAGAAGTGCAGCCTTCTAGAATCATCTGAGAGTAAAGGGCAAGGCACAAGGAAGGTGCTCAACGAACTTTTGTTGCCTAAGCATGGCATGGAGAAGCTGCAAAGAAGAGGGGAGCCCAAAAGGAAAATGGTGGAGAGAGGCGAGTGACATAATTAGTAGCTTCCAGACTAATCCATCCCCTACTCGGCTTCTGGTATAACCCACACACACTCCAGCTCACTGGGTGGGGAGACCCTGCAGTCTGACTCACTGGAATCGGTAGATGGGGTTTCTAGAGCTCTACATACAGAAGGTTCTCTGCTGACCCCTTCCCCAGAATCCTGCCTAACTGTCCAATGAGGAGGGAGAAGGGCGCCCGCCCCCACCTGGGCCACCCCAGCCAGAGAAGGGATGAGAGGCCACTGCCGTCCAAGTGGACACGGCGATGCTGGTCAGCGAGGGCTCCCCTAGAACCTCCACGCCAGAAGTGGGCGCCTGGGTGGAGAGTGGCGAAGTCACAGCGGGGTTACCCAGAAGAAACGCTCCCGGGGAGCCGGCGTGCACCTCTGGGCCCGGCCCGGCAGGGCCCCCGCTACTGTTGCTGATGGTCCACAGGCACGGGTAGGGGCTGCAGAGACAGAGAGAGAGAGAGGATGCCTGGGGACACTCTCAGGAAGGACTGCCACCTGACAAGCACATGCGGAGAGGGGCCGGGTCCAGGAAGAGGGCATCTGGCCACGGCTTTATTTCTAGCTCTGACACAGACTGGCCCTGCTTCTGCAGAGAAGCCAAGAGAAGCAGCGAGATGTAGTATAAGCATACAATCAGGTGTCCTGAGGCCTAAATTTTGACACTGGCCCTGCTCCAGGCAAGTTGTTAATTTTGCACAGCATTTTATTTCTCTGGGCTCCCTTGCAGCCTGTTTAAACGGACAGGAGGGAAAGGAGGACATTTGGACGGTGTGATCTGTAAGTAAGATCTCTCCCTGGCCAAGAGACGATGTGGTATAATAACCAGGACATATTGTGTCAGAAAACCTGGGCTGGAATCCCAGCTCTACCACTTAATTAGCTCCGTGACTTTGGTCAAATTATTTAATTTCTCTAAGCCTCAGTCTCCTCATCGCCAAGATTTGGAGTGATAATTTTATGCCTTACAGATATTGTTTTGAGGATTAAATAAGAAGATGAGGAGATGATGCCTAGCACGTGGCTCTCAGTAAACAGTGGCCGTTATAATTAATTCTCCCATTCCTAGTCTCTACCTGTCGGCTCTGGTTCCTGGCAGAAAAGCCAGGGAGCTGGACCACCTCCTTGAACTTCTCTTGTTCTATAGACTTTTACAAATGTGGCTTCACTTAGTAAGTTTTAAAAAAAATACTGATGCCTGGGTCCTTCCCCCAGAGATTCTGATTTAACCAGTCTGGCATGCAGCCTGGGCATCAGGATTTTTTAAAGCTTTCCAGTTGATTGTAATGTGCAGCAAACTTTGCACCTTAATATAGAACCTAAATGAAAATGGTCGCAGTTGGAACAGGTAGAACAACCTGCAATGCTTCAAGCCTTCAGTCATCACTGTTTTGACTTTTTAGAGTCTCTGCATTGCCGGATACTGCATTGCTTGACAATAGGCTCATTAATCTAAGATAGTACTGAACATACCTGGTTTTCTCTAGCAAAATCTTTATAAAGTCAGGAATGGGTTAAACACACCAACGAGGGAACCAGAGGTAGCCACACCACCCTGCACTCTGTGCCATATTTCAGATACTATAGACCTCATTGGACCATATGAAACCTGCAGAAGCCCATGCCTTGGGCTTCTTTTGTGAGCCAGCTCAGCTTGCTGTGATTCTGGCCCTGACCTCCAAAAGAGACTCCTCTACAGTGTCGCTCAGAGCCCCCTTCTGATGCCTTCAGCACCAGTGGGAAAACCAGGGCTCTGAGTTACATTACTTTCAATGTCTGTGAGCTTTAGATTCTCCATCAGTAAAACAGGAATTGTAATAGCAGCCTTGTTGATGTCTTTGAATACTATAAATGACTTACATAGAGTATCTAGTACAGAACTTGGCACAGGATTGTTAAATATCTTCAAGGACACTCTTGCTCACTTCCCACCACAGCCCAGATCAGTGCATTTCCCTTAGACCCTCCAGTCAAGCACTATCCAGTAAAAATAACATGTGAGCCACAAACACAAGGCTACATTTTCTAGTAGCCACATTTTTAAAAATAAAAAGAATAAAAAGAAAGAAAAATGAACTTATTGTTAATAATATTTTATGTAACTGAAAATATTCAAAATATCATCTCAACACGCACTTGATGTAAAAAAATTATTGAGTTTTTTATTCTTTGTTTTGTACTGTCTTCAAAATTCTGTGTATGTTACACTTACAGCACATCTCAATTTGGACTGGTTGCAACTCAAGGGTTCAACAGCCACAGGTGGCTGGTGGCGGCTGCACTGGCAGCACAGCACTCGACCCTGTGGGCCACAGCAACATCGACACCAAGACCATCAAGACCACAGTTTACGGCAACATCAGCAACACCTGGAGGCTTGTTAAAAATGCAGACTCTAAGGCCCCAACCCAGACCTACCAATCAGACTCTGCATTTTAACAACATCCCCGGTGATCCTAATGTACATTAAAGCATGAGAAGCACTGCTCGGGGACCAAAGCCCTCATTCTCCTAACTTTTCTAGACCTACAGACCCCAAGTCATCTGACGTCTCCTCAAGTACCGTCTTGTAATTTTGAATCCCTTGTTGGACCTTTTCAAAATTCTGCATCTACGTTGAACCTAACAGCTGACATTTAGGTAGAATGTTACTACTTACAAAGCATTTCCATGCAGTTTCTCATTTTGATCTCCCCATAATCTACAGAGTAGCTCAGATTATTTCCACATTACAGATAAGAAAACTAAAGCTCAGCGAGGCTAAGAAAGTTGCCCAAAGTCACAAAGTCAATCAGAGGAAGAACTGGGACTCAAGCCCACATTTGTCAGACTCCAAGGCCCCTTTCCTTTTCACGCCACCACACTGATTCCAGAAGTCAGAACAAAATGCAGGTCTCTGGTGTGAGAGTTGTGCCATGGGTCCCACATGCTACACTTAGCCCTGTCACCTGGGTTGTGGGCCGGGCACTCACACTCTGTCCCCTTGTTAGGATGACTGGCTTAAGAGAATATGGACAATCAAGGGTCTTGAATTCTCAGTGTGTATTTACACTTTTCCCCTTCGATTACCTTGATATTCAGGATCTATCTGCTACTACCAGAGTGTACAGTATTTCTGACCGGCTCGAGACAAATGATCCCAGGCCATGATGTCTTTTCCTTTTTAAAAATAAAATTCTTGGGGCCAGCCCTGTGGCCTAGTGGTTAAGTTTGGCGCACTCTGCTTTGGCAGCCAGGGTTTTGTTCCCAGGTGCAGACCTACACCACTCATCAGGGGCCATGCTGTAGCGGCGACCCCACATACAAAATAGAGGAAGATTGGCACAGATATTAGCTCAAGGCCAATCTTCCTCAGCTAAATAAATAAATAATAAATATTAAAAAAATAAAATAAAATACCAAAGCTACAAAAGACAGAGTACGTATCTGAGCACTGTTTTCCCACTCCTCTTTCTCCAGAAGTGAAAGGTCCATCCTGTTGTTACCTTCACTTCCTAGTGGCTTAGAAGTCAGGACAATAGCTTAGACCAAGCCACCCTAGGAAAAAGAATGAACTTGAATCCCCAGTGCTAAAGTAAACCCCCAAGCCCACCAACGAGCAAGTTGCTGGTGTTGGTCTTACCTAGGCCCTGGATTCATTGGTCCGCTGGTGTGGGGTACAGACAGGATGCTGGCATGGGGTGTGGAAGATAAAGACGTCCAGCTGTCAGCTCCGGAGAAAACTTGCAGGTTATTGCTGGAGCTTTCTATCAAATTCACTTTGGGAAAATAACAACAGTTCAATTGATGGAGCATATAGAACATATAAAGATGGTGACCAATGACATGATCCTAGGGCAGAATATAACCATGGCTGGTGCTACAGGTGCCAATAGTTTGTTAGTACTTTCTGAGGGAAACAGACAAGAGGGAGGAACTTAGGTTTATTGAATGTCAATCATACGCCACATGCCACTAATATTTTAATCTTTACAACAAGGACTTAGCATCCCCATTTTATAGATGAGGCTCAGAGGGGGGGATGATCTGCCTTTTGTGACACAGATCTGTCTAACTCATGTCACCACATTCACTCCTCTGTAAGAATGGACCACATCATCAGCCCCTGAAGACAAGCCTGAGGGCCACCAGTGCCCCAGATGAGATTTCTGAGGATAAGAACCTTATTCTTCTCAGCAACCCCAAGTAGACTTAAACCTCTCAAGAATAGTATCTTCCTAGTCTTTGAGTCTCCATCTGCATAAATAGTGTATATATAAGAGAGAGGAAGAAGGAAAAAGAAGAGGGGAGGAAGGATGGGGCAAGAGGAGAGAGGAAGACGACACCAGTATATATACATGGCCAAGTCACTCCTTTTCATGGTCTGCCACTTGCAACTTCTTCAGCCTCAGCTCTTGCATCTTCCACCTCTCCCCACTGCCTCTACACTCTGTTCCAAATCCATTCCCCGGCCAACCCAGGGTCCCTCACTCTTCTGTGTCTGTGCTCATACTGCTCTCTGACCTGGCGCGCCCTGCACCTCTGCCTGTGTCCCATGTCATCCAACATTCACCCCTGCCCACTCCCCCCTCATCCTTTTCTATTCATCTTTCAAAGCTCAACTTAATTGTCAACCCCTCTGGGCAGATCTAGCTGCTATTTTTCCTTGATTCTCATAGCACCTTGGTTTGTGTGTTTTACAGAACGTTTCTCAAACTTCACTGGGCATAAGAAGCACCTGGAGACCTTGTTAAACTGCAGAATCTTTCAGAGGGAAAACCTCAGAGTCTACATTTCTAACAAGTTCCCAGGTGATGTTGCAGGTCCGAGGACCACATTAGAGCTCTTACTGCGTTGTATTACGATGGGTTATTTATGTATTCGTGTAGCCCCGAGCTCCTCCACGGAAGAAGCTATACGTTAACCACCTTGCTATCCCCACTGCCTAAAGGAGGGCCTGGCGCACGGCAGATGCTCAGAAGACATGTTCTGTGTGCTGACCATGGGAAAGAACACGAAGTAGGGCGAGAACACTGCTCAGTTTCTGATATCATTAAGCTACATTTTCTCCCTTCCTGGCAGCAGCTGTAGAGGTTGCCAGGAGCAGCAGGCGAGGGGGCACAGGGACAGGTAGCTGGTGACCAGGAAAGCCCTCTGCAGATTCAGAGCTCAGGGTGTCCCTGAGGCTGGAATCTTAACACTCTCCTCCATCTCCAATGCCATGAACTGTACGTATTTGTTTTATTTAGTGTGGATCTCCCCGTATGAGAATAGAATCTCCTTGAGGGGGTACTTGTCTATTTTGTTCATGGACAGAAACCGGCACAGAGTCAGCCTTAATAAATATTTGTCACATGAATAATTGAATCAGAAATCAACCTTCAGTTTCATTTCTCCCTTCCTTCCTTCGTTTCTCCCTCCAGTCCCTGGACTGAGCCATGCAACTCAACTGTAGAAAAGAGCCAAGTGAAAGCCATGAGCTGAATGTCTCAGACCCCCACGACTTAACTTGGCTTTTAGAGATGCAGCCTGAAACTGCTCAGTACTCGGGCGCAGTGGGAGGAGGCCTTCCACACCCATTAGAACCAGGAGACTGAGTGTCTTATGAAATAATTACAAAACACTAATAATGTTATAACTACATAGTCAACTATTAGTATATAAAATAAAACATTAAAATAATAATATTACGTATATTAGATGAAAGGGGTTCCATCTCAGATATTTTTTACAAGCTGTTTATCCATTTCTCTCCAATGCACCCCACTTGCACCCCCAAGGGTTTAATTAGCAGAACCACACACCTGAGGGAGAATGGTTTCTATGCATGTAGGCAGAAGGGTAAGGAGCCTGCCGGTGTCCTCGGAGGCCAGGATAGTGCTCACAGCCCTGGTGGGTGTGGGGGGCAGACAGAGGCAAAGGAGTAGCATACTGGTAATTGGCGTTTCCTGCTGTGCACACTCCATCCGGATTGGAAAAGATCCAGCCTCCCACTAAAATAGACAAGAGGAAGACACAGAGACTGACACTGTGAACTTCACACAAAAAATCAGGTAACCGGCCACCGTGCACAGCTATGTTTCTGTGTGAAGGACACTGAACACCTGCCCACGTGCAGATAAATGCCACCACCCCTACTGCCACTGTCCTTCCACATTTGCAGCTAAGTTGGCTTCTTAGGAGATGGATGACAGGTCCTAGCAAAGTCTGCAAAACCTCTTAAGGAACCCTGGAATCATAGCTATATAAAAGACTATTTGAATGTATAAGTTAATAGAAATGCAAAAGTTAAGTTGCTTCTGACTTCATTGAATTAAATTAAAAGTCAGTCTAGAAAGGAGTGTTAGATGTATATGTAACTCACTGATCCACAGCTACTAGGGAATGTTCAATGTGGTCACACAGAAAGAGTGAAGGCCTCTCTATTTCTGCCCAGTGGGAAGGTGTCTTAGTTCACTCCAAGCAAGAGGAGACACAGTGCCTCCATCACCACCCCACAAAGAGGACCCAGAGAGCAGAAAGGGAGCCGGCTAGCACACCTACAGCAAGAACCTTGCAGAACATTTGAGAAGGCTGCAAAATATTTCAGAGAAATTTATTTTTGAATGATCATCTCAATTGATGCAGAAAAAAGCATTTAACAAAATTTAATATCCTTTCATGATTAAAAACAGTCAACAAACAAATAGAAGGAAATTGCCTCAACATAATAAAAGCCATATATAACAAGCCCACAGCTAACATCATACTCAGCGCAGAAAACTGAAAGCTTTTCCTCTGAGATCATGAATAAAATAAGGATGCATACTCTCACCACTTCTATTCAATACAGTATTGGAGTCCTAGCCAGAGTACTGAGGCAAGCAAGCAAGCAAGGAGGGAGGGAGGGAGGGAAAGAAAAGGCATCCAAACTGGAAAGGAAGAAATAAAATTATCTCTGTTTGCAGATGACATGATCTTATATGTAGAAATCCCTAAATGTTCCACAAAATAAACGGTTAGAACAAATTCACCAATGTTGCAGGATACAAAACCAACACATAAAAATCAGTTGCATTTCTATACACTAACAATAAACAATCCAAAAGTAAATTAAGAAAACAATTCCATTTACAGTAGCATCAAAAGAATAAAATACTTAGGAGTAAACTCTACCAAGGAGGCAAAAGACTTGTACACTGAAAACTGCAAAACATTGCTGGAAGAAATTAAAGAAGATAGAAATAAATGGAAAGACATCCCATGTACATGGATTAGAAGACTTAATATTATTAAAATGTTCAGATAACCCAAAGCAATCTACAGATTCACTTCAATCCCTATCAAAATGCCAATGGCATTTTTGGGAGAAGTAGAAAAAAGCAATCCTAAAATTCATACAGAATCTCAAAAGACCCCAAATAGCCAAAACAATCCTGAGAAGGAAGAACAAAACTGGAGGCCTCACACTTCCTGATTTCAAAACATATTACAAAGCTACAGTAATCAAAATAGTATGGTACTGGCATAAAGACAGACATATGGATCAATGGAACAGAATGGAGAGCCTAGAAATAAACATCCACCTATATGGTCAAATGGTCTTCAACCAGAGTGCCAAGACTATATGATGGAGAAAGGATAGTCTCTTCAACAAATGGTGCTGGGAAAACTGGATATTCACATGCAAAGAAAGAAGCTGGACTCTTATCTTATGCATATCTAAAAATTAATTCAAAATGAATTCAAGACAAATGTAAGACCTGAAACTATAAAACTCCTAGAAGAAAAAACAAGGGAAAACTTCAGGACATTGGATTTGGCCATTATTTCTTGGATATGACACCAAAAGCACAGACGACAAAAGCAAAAATGGACAAATGGGGCTACATCAAACTTTACAACTTCTGCACAGCAAAAGAAATAACCAATAGAGTGAAAAGGCAACCTATGGGATAGAAGAAAATATTTGCAAACTATATATCTGATAAGGGATTAATATCTAGACTATATAAAGAACTCCTACAACTCAACAAGAAAAAAAAACTCAACTAAAAAATGGGCAAAGGACTTAATTAGACATTTCTTCAAAGATATACAAATGTCCAATAAGTATATGAAAAGTTGTTCAACATCACTAATCATCAGGGAAGCGCAAATCAAAACCAAGAGATATCACCTCATACTGTTAGGATGGCCATTATCAAAAAAAAAAAAAAAAAGCAGAAAATATGTGTTGGCAAGAATGTGGAGAAATTGGAACCCTTGTGCACTGTTGGCAGGAATGTAAAATGATGCAGCCACCATGGAAAACAGTATGGAGGTTCCTCAAAAATTAAAAATAAAACTATGATATGATCCAGCAATCCCACTTCTGGGTATATATCCAAAATAATTGAAGATATTTGCACACCCATGTTCACTGTAGCATTCTTTACAATAGCCAAGAGGTAGAAACAACCTAAATGTCCATCGACTGATGAACGGATAAATAAATTTGGTGTATACATACAATTGAATATTACTCAGCCTTAAAAAAGAAGAAAATCCTGTCATATGCTACAACATGGATGAACTTGGAGAACATTAGGCTAAGTGAAATAAGCCAGTCACAAAAAGACAAACACTGCATGATTCCTCTTATATTAGGTATCCAAAGTAGATAGAGATAGAGACAGAGACAGATAGAGATAGAAAGTAGAATGGTGGTTGCCAGGAGCTGGGGGAGGGAGAGGCAAGGAGTCGTTTGGTGGATGTAGTTAAGTCATGCAGGATGCAGGTTGGGGGGAGGGGGTCTGGGAATTTGTTGCACTACAATGTGCATGTAGTTGACAATATTGTACTGTACACTTGGACGCTGTTGTGAGGGTGCATTTTATATTGTGTTTTTTTGCCACAATAAAAAAAATTGGTGAAGATTCTGAATAGAAGGCTCTACTTCAAGTGTGTTCATGGGCAAAGACTGAGACTTAGTAACGCAGGCCCTGAAATAAGAAGCACATCTCACTGAGCAGATCTCAACTGAGAAACACGCAGACGAGGATTTAGACAGGGCCAGAGCTGTTCCTTGAGAACGTTGACTAAGGATTTTCACTGGGGCTTCAATAACAAGGAAATGGAGCTTTTATTAGAAACCACTGTCTTTGCTTAACACTTTTTGAGCATAAGTAAACAAATTGTACACAGTTCATAGTACAAATTGTGGGTCAGTCATTCTCAACAAATCCTTCTGTCATCTTCATTTTCCCATTGTTGCATAGACACGTGGCCCAAGGGGTCCCTACCTGACTAATAGAATCAAGATTCAGGTTTCAGTGGGCAAAGCCAGGCAAGTGATCCTCAGAACCACGCTTCTACCCACATACATGTACACACCTCAAGGAGTTTGCTGAGAAGACTGCCACGCGTGAACTTTGAAAAGGTGTGGTTCTGCACAGGGTCCTATACTGTACAAAAAGGCTTTTTATTTCAGGTCACTTAAAAAAACGCTTTTCTGAGAGCTGCTTCTCTTCATGTGGGTATCCTGCCATTTCTGCAATGGAAGATGCATTAAGGTTTAGGGGAAGGAGGGAGTAAAGAATTCCATAGCTGGAAAACTGCAGAAGGGATCTTCCCAAACCACATAATCCAAATTAAAGAGTGTCTCAGACACCAGGGTAGCTCGTCCACTCTGATGTCACTGACTCTGGCTTACTGCCGCAGCTTTAGGGGACTTGCTCCACGATGGAGCCTCCTCTATGATCTGAGACATAGGGAGGGTGGCACCCTGTCAGGAACAGCCTGTGCTACCTGGGAAATCCCAGATGTGTCGCTCCAACTCTCCCTGCAGCTTTCGAATCAACAAATGCAGACTCTTCCTCACACGCAAGGCTACTGTCTGCCTGAGGCATTGCCGTGGTGCCCAACTGGAAAATTAGCAAATACTAGGAACAGGGGAAATCCAGAACAGAGACAAGAGTGGTGAGCGTAAAGGCAGGAGATACACCCAGGACGCACTTTTGAGAGCTCCTAGCCTCACTGACATGAAACTAGAGTCTAAGAAATTCATCTTTTCCACTCTTATCTCCTGCCTAAGATTTGTTTAAGCCCCTTAGGAACACTGGTTCTCTCTGGGAATTCTGGAAAGGGCATAAACTTGTTTCGAGTGGGAGAAAATAACCTGCTGAGTCTGGATAGAAGCTTTGGAATAGGCCGTAAGCAGTCAGGACAGGGAAAAAGTCTGAGGGTGGTGGGAGATTGCTCCTAGACGCCCCAGCATCACCCAAGGTTCACCCAACTCACAGTGAGAATAGGCTACATGCTGGCTCTCAGCGACAGCGTCCGGAACGTCTTTTAGGTGGTTCCTGAAAGAATAAAGAAAGTATGTCACAGCCGTCCAGCTTACCATATGAGTCCAGCATAAAGCACAGCCACGATTCTCTTTGGAGAGCAATATGTTTCTTGGAATAGGAAAATCAAACACCTTTTTTCTTGAAGCTACTATCTTTCCCCCATTCTCCTTCCTCTGGGGCACTTGATCTACTTGTGCAATTGCTCTTTGAATTGCAATTTTATGGTTACTCCTATTTACCACATTTACAGCAATCCCTATTAGTTTGATCGTACTGATTTGTAGTCATTGCTCCTGCCTGACAAAATTCAAGCACTGATAACAACAGCTAAGATTTGCATAGGACTTCAGGGCACAGTCACATCTGTGATATACTAGATCCACCAATGATTACAACACCAATTTTGCAGATTAACAAAGTGGGTCTCAGGGAGTAAACCAATTTATGCAAGATCAAACAGCCAGGAAATGGCAAAGCTGGGACTCAGAGTCAGGACCTCTTACTCAAAGTCTTAAATTCTTCTTATACCACGCTACTATCATTTTGAATCCAGATCCTGTCATCTCACACATCAGATTTTCTTTCGGCCTTTAGTTATCCGAAAAAGTTTTAAGTATGTCTTCTACATCATCAAAATTAAGTCAGATATTGACAGGACAGACACTCTGACACATTATTATAAACATCTGTCCATTAATCCAGAGTCTTTAAGATGAAAAGAAAAGGTTAGATAGTTTTAGGAGGTATTGAAATGATTTGAAACACAGGCAAAAAATCTGAACACTTCAAAGGAAATCATATTTATACTCTGCGCCTTGTTGATAGAAGTCAAGGATAAGTTTCATTATTCTTTTACTTTTTTCTAGAATTGAATGGAAAAATACAGAGACATAAAGTCCCTGGCCTAAAGTAGTAGAATTCTCATTCACACTCCCTGAAGTCTCTGACTTCTCTTCTCTCAGACTTGAAAGGTATGACCCTCCCATCTTTATGAATTACTTGTATGAATCACTCACCTTTCCTAGGCTAAATGTAGTTTTAAAAAAAAAAAAACAAATTTATTGACACCATACTACTCAGAAATAATTCGAGGAAGGACAGAATAAATTATTATTAATCTAAATCACTTAATTGTTTTTAATGTGGCTGGGCTGCTTTCAAGAATCTATAGTAAAATAGAGCTGACAAAACATTGCCAGTCGGAGGTTCTCCTGGATCCCTGTTTGATCCCTAAGGGACAAACACTTATGAGTTTGCTGATTTTGTTGAATATTGAATTGGATATTCACAACGTATTTCTATCAACAGTAATGCAAGAGCCTCTAGTCCAATTCCTTTCCAGATGACCAACATTTTCACATTTGCAGAAGGCATTCATAAGATTTTACTGAAATTTCTCTACTCACCTTTCCTTGGCATCTAAGAAGGCTTTGGCAAAAGGGTTGTACTTGATCTTGAGAGCTGTGATCTTACGTGTACAAAGACAAGAGGTGTTAGTGAGAGCGGAACACGCACGGACAGACGGGACCCTTTATCTTCACCTGTGAATTTCCGTCAAGTCAGAATACCTCCCCTCCCTCTTTTTTTCTCCCGCTCCATGTTTCTTTGCTTACTTCCGCATGAAATCACTATTGCACTCTCTGACAAGGAGCATTTTATTGTGGCATGTGGTGAAAATGACGAATGCAGTGAAAAGTGAGCAAAGAAAGGGAAGAGCATTAGAAATGAGCCAATACGTATAATATATATGTGACATATATTTGGTTTTCGTCTCTCCCCACTGCCATGTCAGTGCCTTGAGGACAGAGCCCACATCTAATATATTCACTGCAGTATTCCCAGCGTGTAGAACAACATCCAGCCTGTAGTAATATGCAACAAATATTTGCTAAATAAATAAATATCAAAAAGAATGTTTATGGGGCCGGCCCAGTGGCGTAGTGGTTAACTTCATATGCTCCACTTTGGCAGCCCAGAGTTCACAGGTTCGGATCTTGGGCGCAGACCTATGTGCTGCTTATCAAGCCATGCTGTGGCAGGTGTCCCACATATAAAATAGAGGAATTTGGGCATGGATGTTAGCTCAGGGCCAATCTTCCTCAGCTAAAAGAGGAGGTTTGGCAACAGATATTAGCTCAGGGCTAATCTTCCTCACCAAAAAAAAAAAAAAAAGAATGTTTTCATCAGCAAAGGCCTGAGACTTGCTGCTCTCTGGTGGAAGGAGGAAAAATAAAATAAAACCCTTTGTAACCCAGGAACTATAGGAAGAAATCAAGAGGAAGAGGGAGGAGAGCTGTGGACTCAGATCTACATGACCTGGTCTTCCTCTTGGCTTAAACCTGGAGGGGTCAAGGTGCATAGTGCAGCTAGCAGTGGGCACAAGGGAGCTTTTGGCTCCCTCACCCACCTCCATGCTCACTCTCTTGTCAGGGAGCATCCACATCGACCTGGCGGGAAGTGTTGTCAGCAAAGGGAGGCTCTGAGGTTAGATTTTCCTGAGCTTGATTCCCTTGGGGCATATTCAAGACTGGAAATACAGCATCAGGCTGGGTAGCTTGCTAGAGGGGGGGCCTTAGCCAGGCTGGCAGTTCAGAGGGAAGCGCCCAGGAAAAGCTTCTGAACACTTACCCAGTGGGCAACTAGATGACAAGTTTTGGTGACCATGGACTAAGAGAACAGGCAGCACGTAAGTGGACAAGGGCATTGCCCTGGAGACCAGGGGAGGCTAGGAAAGGTCCCAAACTCATCCCACTGTCGAGAGTTGCAAAAGCCACAACGTCCCCTCATAGACCCAGCCTCCATCCTAGAGAGAGAAGCAGGGGAGGGAGGGCTATCTGAGAAAGGAAGTGTTTTTAGCCTGCAAAGACTGAGCACCATCTGAGGGCCTGTTTAAATGTTCAGATATTTAGTTAATTTCTGTTCCCACTGGCCTGCTAGAGGGGCTCAGCCAAGAGGCCAGATTACCTATAGAAAAGAAATTACATTTCTCTGCACATCTGTGATGTGAGTTAAATTTGCAACTCAATTTCCCCTGGAAGCATAAGGCAGTGGGTTCCAGACCTGGATGCTCATCAGAATCCTTTAGGGGGACTTGAAAAATGACAGATTCTGGGCACTGTCCCCAGAGATTCTGACTCAGTTGGCTGGGTAGGAGCTCAGAATCTTTTAAATCTTCCAAATAAAGAAATGCAGATTAAAGCAACAACAAGATATCTTTTTTTTTTACCTATCAGATTATGAAATCTGAAAAAGGTTGGTAATCGCCGGTGTTGAGAATGGTGTAAACGGATACGCCCTTTGGAGGGAGGCAATTGACGATATCTGTCTCGATTCTAAACATACTGTCCTGGACAGAACAATTCCATTTCTAGATGTTTACCATGCAAGAAACAACAGTAGATGTTCTGGGATATTCTTTGCAGTATTATTTATAAGAGAATACAAAACAGCTGGAAACCACCTAAATGTCCATCAGTGGGGAGCTGATTGTCTGAAATGCGGTATATCCTCTGCAGGCATTTCAGAAAAGGAGAGACGCCTGAACCTAATTACACAGAATGATATCCATAATACACTGTGAAATAGGAAGAAAGGAAATTTTCAGACTAATATACACAATATGAGCCAATTTATGTGAAGAAATCTATATTCTTATATATATTTATATATGCACAGAATATATATGTAGAAAAAAGCACACTTGCAGCTGTAATTTGTAGTGTTCCCAGGGAGTAGAATTCAAAAGGCAGGAGGGAAGGAGTACATCTTTATTTTTCATTTTCACTGTACACACTTCTGTACTATTTGTTTATTATGTGGGTTTTTTTAATAAACATGTATTATCTTTAAATTTTAAAAATAAGTTCAATCAAAAAGAATCCAGGGCCGGCCCTGTAGCGGTTAAGTGCACGCACTCCGCTGCTGGTGGCCCGGGTTCAGATCCTGGGCGCGCACTGATACACCACTTGTCAGGCCATGCTGTGGCGGCGTCCCATATAAAGTGGAGGAAGATGGGCACGGATGTTAACCCAGGGCCAGTCTTCCTCAGCAAAAAAAAAAAAAGAGGAGGATTGGCATGGATGTTAGCTCAGGGCTGATCTTGCTCACAAAAAAATAAAGTAAAACAAAAGAATCCAACCCTCCCCCCAGGAGCTTCTGATGACCAACAGGCCTAGGAACCCCTAGACTACGTGAAGGGACCCAAATGTCCCGCTCCCAACCAGGTCACAGAGGCCAGACCCCGGCTACTCAGCTCTAACTGCCAGAGTGGCTCAAGTGTGCTCAGAAAAACTAACAGGACAGAGAGCATCACACAGACCCAAAAGAGGTACACATTTGGATCAATTCCCACAGACTTGCCTCCAGAGCAGGAGAGACACCCAGCTGTGCAGGCCAAGTGCACACCAGGCCCTGAAGCAGACTGGGTTTCTGTTGGTTTCATTCCAAGGCACAACCTTCCTTATTGGCACCAGGAGAGGAAGTGTTGGTGGGCCTGTGGCAAGCAGGCAAGAGGGAGCAGAAAGCAGCTACCCTACTGTTCAACTTCCTCGCTGCTGAGTAGACCTGAATCCTGGAAAACCTACCTTTCCCCCAAGCTTGGTCATGGCCATAAAAGCCCCCACCCCACCCACCATGCTCTCCCAGGTGGCATTTACACACACGCGCTCACCTCCTCGTTCTGATAGGCAGTCACAGCTATGAACTGGGTCTCAGGGAAGGAGCAGTTCATCACCATTCGGTGGGCACCTCCAACACGCACTATGTGCACCTGGGGTTCATATTTATGCAGAGAATTCAACATTATCTGCCGAGGAGGAAGAAGAAGAGAAAGAGGAGACATGCACAGCCTGGTGCGTCACAGGTGATAGATGAGCCGGCACCTTGGTTAGTCCCCGGCTCAGCACCCACCCAGTGAGGGCCACACACTTCGAATCCTGGGTCAGCTGAGTCGCCACCACCTCCCTGAGAACTGGGTGGGGGGATTTTTTCAGAAGCTCCCAGGAGCATAACATCGGAGTTTATGCCAGGGAGGAGTTGTTCTAAAGAGTGTTCAGTTTTCTGCCAAAATCCTGGTTTCCCTTTTTTCTCTCCCTATTTTCAGCACAACAATGTGGATTTTTTAAAACATATTGCTTTTCTTTGTATTGTGAATCCTAATATCTCAAAATACTGACAATGGCTGTGTTCCACAGTGACTACCTGAAAAACAATGACATCTGACATCCACTGGTTACATATAATCCACTCTTGGTGATTCACATCAAAGGTTTATTAAAAGTCACCGTTGTGATATCTGGGAGGCAACAGTAGTTTACTTTTCAATTTCCTGTTTTAATAAAGAACTGGAACCTTCTGAACATCACAAAGACTCGGGTGGATTAAGTCCCCATCCTACGACATGACCTCCGACATCCCAGCTGGCTACGCACAGAGAGGTCAGAGAAGGGTGGGAAGTCTGAGGGCTAAGAGGCTGACCAAAGAGAAATATGGGAGGAGAGGGGGAATGAGACCTTTTCCTCCAAGCCATGTCTCTAATCCCCCAAAACAGTCTACATTTTGTATAGCAAATAACAACCTTACATGGTACACTAGTATTCACAATCCTACCAGAGAAAACAAAAGAGGAAAAGCCCCCAAATCTTGTTTACTCTAATTGGAGACCTTAAAAAAAACCTTCCTTATTTAAGGTTTGTTTGGATTTTTTTTCTGAAAACCCAAAGCTGATTCAATATTCTATTGATAATTATCATAATGCCCAAGTGGAGGTAGCAATTATTTCATTTAGAAGCAGCTTTTTATTAAAGTATTTGTCTATTGCCAACATGCCACTTACACCAAAAAAGGGGAGAGGGACTAACACAGCCTCAGTGCCCACAAGCGTCTCCCTCTCGGGCTGGGTAGAAAGCCCCACACACCAGACAAACTCTGAAAGGGCCTGATGATTAAGTAAACTACTGGCTCTCACTCTCTCTTAACATCAGGAAGTCCATTAAAAACTGAAAGCACCAATTAAGAGCTGTTTATTCCTGTTTACATTTGGACTCTGGGGAATAATTGGCTTCTGTGCGAGAAGAGGCGGTGAGGACCCCTCTAATTGCCTAAATGCACCCTTGATATTTCTTGATTGGTGTTGTGGGGCGGCTGGGTGGCCATGTGACCGATCAGTGAGGACCCCTCTAATTGCCTAAATGCACCCTTGATATTTCTTGATTGGTGTTGTGGGACGGCAGAGTGGCCAGGCGACCCATCTTACCTGCCCACCTCCATTGAGCTTGTTGGTCAGCTTCACTTTGCTGAAGGAGATGGGCGCTTTCATCCAGTGGGCCCCAAAGTTGGGGGAGTCGGGGTGGATGTAGACGCAGCTGTGGCTGGAGACTTCTGGCTTGCCCGCGGGCACCCATTCCCCATTGACGTACTTCCAGCGGTGACTGTCCGTTGGGACAAAGTCCAGCAGGAGGGAGTACATGGCATTGGGGTCCAGCCCAGAGACACTAATCTTTAGGACAGGGAACATCCGTCTATAAGAAAAGGCAGAAATTGAGCCACAGGAGGGATGTTAGGGACCATCCCCTTGTCCAGCGATCTTTCCACTCCGAAGAGCCTTCCATGGAGTGCCTCAGGGGTGCAGAGAATGCCCGGGCAGAGGGCGGGGAGGCCCAATAAAGAGGGGCCAGGCCTGCAGCCCAATTCCACAGAGCCACTTCTTATAAATGCATTTTATATTGGGGTTTTACTTTAAATTGCTGTGCTCCGTTTTAAAATCTGAAAACCACTGACCTAGTCATTTGACAGACGAAGAACCTGAAGCCCCAGGTGTATAATCAAATGCCACCTTCTCACAGAGAGCTTTCTTCAAAGATTTCCTCCTGGCTTACGTCAGATTCTCACACGAATGCCACAAAGCAGCCCACAAAGCAGTTCTCACAAGAACATGAGTTCTGAATAATAGCAATAGCATTGATAGGGAAAACATGGTTTCATAGTAAAATAAGTGAGGGGAACCCTGGACTACACAAAGTTACAGCAGTTCCTTTCCTGCAGGACGTCTCAGAGCCCTTGATGTACCCACCAGTGTGCACCATGAACCTCTGAGCAGCTGTGGGGTTGTGCACACTCTGAACTTGCATAACAGTGGAACCATCTTTTCACTGAGCATTTTGTGAAAGTTTGTGTTCAAGGAACACACTTTGAGACACGCTAGTCTGGATTCGTTGGTCCTTCTTCCACCCTCGAGAACAATACTAGCAAGTTAACTGGCACAAATATTTGGAGAAGCTACCTCACCTGGCTTCTGATTCCCTTTAGTTTATTTTTCCTTCACCAAACCTTCTAAGTCTCTCCAATCTTTCCTCAAAAGACTTGGTTTCCGGACACACACCCTCCATCACCTGATTGCCCCAAATGCTGTCTTATTTGTCAGTACCTCTTTTAAAATCCAAGTCCCCAAATTGAAAAGCTAACAATCTCTAGTCTATGTCCTTGCTACTCAAAGTCGTCCACGAACAAGCAGTATCAGCTAGAAGTGTATTAGAAACACAGAGGCTCAGACCTCACTCCAGACCCACGTAATCAGAATCGGTGCTTTTACAAAATCCCCAGGGGAGTCATAGGAACGTTAAAGCTTAAGAAGCACAGCACTAGAGTATCTTTAGCTTTCAAGACAATAAGGAGATAAACAAGGGAGTGGGGAGGAGTCACTCTAAGGACTGGTACTTCTGATGAGGCTGGGAGGAAAATGAAAAGCGGAAACTGGAATGTGCCCACAGCTAAGAGGAGGGTCCAAGGATGCCAGAAGTGGGAATATTAAAGGCAGGATGGGCACAGATGAGAACCTGGAGGGTCACCAAGGGCATCCTACTGTGTCCAGAGGTGCCCACCCTTGAGGTGAGGTAGAACGGGAATTGTTTCATATGCAAAGTGAAGGAACTGACCGACAGGTGACGAGAGATGGATCTAGAGCTGGACTTCGGCCATCCAGGCTCCCTAGTCTCCTGAGTTTAAATCACATGGGCTTCCTGAGCTCTGTGGACATAGATAGGATTTTTTTCCCTTGGCTCACCCACCTCCTTGATATTTCCTTTCCTACTCCTTTGCTGGCTCCTCTTCCAACTTAGCCGTCCAACTGAGGATGAATAGTGGGGGTCTGTTGTCAGCCTCCACCCCCTTTCTAAACGCCCTGCCTTACAGACCACTTCTAATCTCCTCATGGCAGAATACAAAGAGCCTGCGGAATTTTATCATTACATCTATCAACATCCACATCCCTGGTATGGCACTCAGTAAGTATTCAATAGATAGCAGCCTTGAGAGGCCATGTAGAAGACTGATTTGGAGTGTAGGTTCCGGTTCAGTTTGCCTGGTTTCCACGCCCACTCTTCCTGAATAGACGGCCATAGGCTGCCTTCCTTAAACTCTCTGAGCTCCAGTTTCCTCATCTCACCACCCAGCCTCAGCAAGTTGTTGCAAGAACTCAGTGAGCTAATTCATGCACAGTGCTCCTTCAAATGCCTGGCCCCTCGTGAGTGCTCTGCACGTGTTGGCTATATTGTCATTATATCCAAGCCCTTCAGCTGGCCCAGTTCTCCTGCTCTAGAATCTTACCTTGGGGCGGTGATTCTGGAAGCTGAAAACACAAAGGACATCAACTCGCCCTCCCTCCTGCCTGGCTGACAGGAACCACACCCCTCTGCTTTTCCCTCTGGAAATAAGGAGTCTAGGTAGAATAGGGAGTGACTGCTGTACCAGAGCAGAATTTGTCACCCTAAAATGTGTCTCTTTGGCTTGATTACCTGGAGCTTATGATTTTTAAGAAAGAAAAGACTCAGGAAGAAACTTTGACTTTCCCCCTAGCTGCCGAAGAGAATTTAAGATGAAAGGCCCGTTTCAGGAAGGAGCTACCACCATAGATAACTATAGTATACTATGAACTAGGTGTGGTGGACAGGGAGGAACCAAGCAAGGCCCCTCTGATCAAAGTCCTCTCCATGCCCCATTGTCTCTGCAAGGCAGGGCAAACATTTGTTTAGTAAACAGTTGCTTTCCCATTTCCATGTGAATTACCTTCCTCCGCTTTAAAATCCCAAACCACTACTCCCAACACCCTCTTCTGTCTTTAGCTAAAGATGGTATTTAACCCCAACAAATAAGTGGAGAATAACTGGTTTGATTAGTTACACCCATATCTGATTCTCAAAGCACAATAACTTTGCAAAAAGCTCTGGGAAGGTATTATTATGCCTGTTTTATAGATGAAGCCTGAGGCTCAAGACAATTTACCCCAGGTCACATGCTAAAAAGTAGCAGAGCCACTAATATTTTCTTATTCTTGGAGGTATGTGTCCTTAGGGGGAAGAATGACAAAATTGTATCAGCCTTAAAATTCAAGTTTTTATTTCTTTAGATACAGCTGATGTAAGCAGTACCTGCTATCCCTTCTCAATCCTGGCTCCACATGAGAATCACCTGGGGAGCTAGTAAAAATGCTTATGCCCAGGTCCCACTGCCAGAGATTCAGATTTAATAGGTTTAGGATAGGGCCCAGCCACTGTTCTGTTTTCTAAAGCCCCCAGATGATTATAATTGGCCACCAGGGCTGAGCACCACTCAGGCCAGTGGTGCTCGGCCTTTACATGCATAGAATCACCTGAAGGACACAGACTGCTGGGCCCCTCGCCAGAGTTTCTGATTCAGTAGGTCTGGTAAGGTTTGAGAATTTGCATTTTTAACAAGTTTCAGGTAGTGATGATGATGCTGGTTCTGTGAACACACTTTGGAAACCACTAGTTAGGCATACTGGTTGATGGTTTTCAAACTTGCTTACACACATTAGAATCACCTGGAGAAATTTTTAAGCTACTGATAGCCAGGCACACCCTCAGACCAATTACATCAGAATAGCTAGGGTGGGGGACCCAGGCATCTACCTGTTTAAAGTTCCTAAAATTAAAAAGTTTCTCTACAGCAAAGGTTTATAAAACTCATTAATATGTGATATATAGTGATTTTCCAAGAGGGTTGTATAGTACACAGTATTTCCAAAGCTTTTTGGACCAGAAACACTCCTGTCAAGGCACATAATTAACGGCTGTGAATGTGTGAAATACTAGCCTATAGGATGAAGTGGAAACTGTGTTGTGTGGCGTACAAGACATTCCCCTCCACAGTGGATACAGCCTCATCTTTTGCCAAAACCTTCCTCCCTCCACTACGTGTGTCCCTATTAAAATATTAATAACTTTCTATTGCAATTATCTGTTTTAATGTGATTGTTTGCATTATTTCTACAAGCTCTTTGGAGTCAGAGGCTGTATCTTTATCTTTGATTCTCCAGAGCCTACTATGATGCCAAGTATAGCTGGGGCTCAATAAACATTTGTTGAGTAACTGCAAAAAATAAAATAAAGATGGTATTTAAGGTGGTGGTTTTGGCCATTTTGGTGACTTACTCAGTTTTCCTAGGTTTCTCCCACGTATACATGTTATTAAACTTTGTTTGATTTTCTCCTATTATTGTCTCATGTCAATTTAATTCTTAGACCTCCCAGAAGAACCTAGAAGGGTAGAGGTAAACTTCTTCCTCCCTTACACTGCTAATGGCTATAGGGTTTCTTTATGGGGGTGATGAAAATGTTCTAGAATTAGATAGTCATGACTGTTGCACAACTTTGTGAATATTCTAAAAGCCACTGAGTTGTATATTTACAAAGGTGAATTTGATGATACATTAATTATTTCTCAAAAAATAGTAAATTAATAACTTTAATACCACTTCAATTTTTATTCTCCAGCTGAATCACAATCATTTGCACAGGGATCCTAGGCTTTGGGGTTAGCTGTGGGAAATGGCTAATCCTGATGGCTTCCTCCTTCCCTTGACTCGCAGTAGAACTCTCTCTCCCTTCCCCTGTCTTGGTGGGCTCAAGGAGAGAATATTAATTTAAATAGGAGGTTAGGACAAGGGTATGAATTAAATGAAATTTATAGAGGAAAAAAAGCATCAGATGATGCATCCCAAATCCAGGTCTTGCCTAAGTATTGCATTACTTACCTCCTCTCTCCCCTCCCTTAATGACATGAGTATATTTTCATGTTAATGAAAATGATGATTCTCCCCTGGGAGGCTGCCTATGTCATCTTTAAATGCATACTCTTTCATTCTTTCTTCAATAGAAGGATTTTTATCTATTCTTCTCTCTTCATATCAGACTAAACTATTCCTTTTCACAATATATCTTAATGTTTTCAATTATTTTAACAGTATTGGCCAACTGTAGAAAACAGAAGCCCCCTGAAAGCACAAATATCATTTGCAAAGAATCACAAAAGTGGGCATCAGAAATGACCTTAGGGGTCAGACAGGATCATCCTGACAGCCAGGAGCCTGGTTTGTTTATATGAGGTACACAGAGAGATGGTCCAGGGCTTTTTCTGAAATGCTAAAGTTTATTTTATTTTTTCAAAAGAAAACACAGGAATGAAATGTGTATAATTGTCATTTCACACACTAAAGTTTAAAAGT